GCCTCCCCAAGTGCTGGGATTACAGAGGTGAGCCACTGCGCCCGGCCTTGTATGATTTTTCGTGTGCAACTCACATCCAAAATTACTGCTTGGCTTCGTTGGTGCAGAACCACCCTTCTCCGCCAGGGCCTCTCACTGGGTCTCGGTGGTAGACACTCAGGAGGATGCCTGCCTCACTCTCTGAAGTGAATTATTTTGGGTATGTCCTTGATCCTAAATAAGGTCAGACAATCCCAATATACTCTAAACATTTGTTCAAATCTATTCAACTATTTTCATGTAGTATAATAAAATTTTAATAATATCTCTTGGTTTAATTCATGAACATTTTACATGTGGTGAAATTGAGCCCAAGCTCTACCAACTCTGTCTTCGTTTTTTCTTTCCATTTTTAATTTTGGGGGTACATAGTAGGTATACATCCCTCATCATTGTGAAATTAAAACGTGTCTTTAGCCTGAGCACAGTAGCTCACACTTGTAATCCCAGCACTTTGAGAGGGTGAGGTGAGAGGATTTCTTGAGCCCAGGAGTGTGAGGCCAGCCTGGGCAATATAGATAAACCTTGCCCCTACAAAAAAAAAAGTTAAAAATTAAAAAACAAATATGTCGCCAGGCATGGTGGCTCACGCCTGTAATCCCAGCACTTTGGGAGGCCGAGGTGGGCAGATTATGAGGTCAGGAGATCGAGACTACGGTGAAACCCCGTCTCTACTAAAAATACAAAAAATTAGCTGGGTGTGGTGGCAGGTGCCTGTAGTCCCAGCTACTCAGGAGGCTGAGGCAGGAGAATGGCGTGAACCCAGGAGGTGGAGCTTGCAGTGAGCTGAGATCGCACCACTGCACTCCAGCCTGGGCGACAGAGCGAGACTCTGTCTCAAAAAACAAAACAAAACAAAAAAACCAAACATGTCTCTTAGTGATTTTTCTTTTCTTAATTACATATTCACTGTAACAAAAAAGTTTGAAGATAAGAGGTAGGCAAAAAGAAGAAAATAAAAAACACCCCAGTCCCATTCTCAGAGTTAGCTATCACTTACCACTTGATGTATTTCCTTCCAGTCTTTTTCTGTGTATGTACATGTGAATGTTTGTGTGTAAAAAAACCCGCACATACCTATAAAACATAAATAAGATGTCCAGCTACCTCAATGACTGCATTATTCATTTCTAATACATATACTTTGTCATGTAGTTGCCTATTTTTATTTAATAACCATCTGTTCTTATTTGTGATGTATATTCTTTCATTTAGTTCCCTGAAGTTTTATGTATACATTTTAAAACCCCCTTCAAGATTGTCTATTATCTCAGTTCCTTAAGTATAAATTTTTTTGTTTGGGGGGGTCTGAAAACTGCCTTTAGTGTTGTTGATCTTCCTTATAGAGTGTGTAATTCTTGTCTATGAGCTTGTCTTTCATGGGAGCCATCTTTCTTGGGACTTCTCCACTGTGTGGTCTGGGTTGTTGAGGAAGGATTTCAGTGAGGAGGTTTCTGTTGTCCTGTGGAATAGAGCACTGACTTCAAACCAAGTCTACGGCTAGTGGACCAGGACTGTTGACTGTTTCCACTGATAGCTGGGCAGATGGCTTGTGTTCAGCTACAACCTTGGGCAGCCCACTTCCTGGAGGGGCGGCATGGTCCTGCCTCCTAGACTCATGGCTTTCTGCTGTATGTGGGGCTCGTGACTTATTGAAATCACAACCACAGCTCATCCAGTCTGAGTCCCCTGTGGGCTTTAGCTCCCATTTACAGGCATGCTTTATTTTATTATACTTTGCTTTATTACACTTTGCAGATATTGCATTTTTTACAAATTGAAGGTGTGTGGCAACCCTGCGTGAAGCAAGTCTGTCGGTGCCATTTTTCCAACAGCACATGCTTATTTTATTAGCATTTTTTTTAGCAGTATTATCTTTTAATTAGGGTATGTACATTGTTTAGACATATGCTATTTCACACTTAATAAACCACAATATAGGGTAAACATACTTTTATATACACTGGGAAACCAAAAAATTTGTGTGACTTGCTTTATCATAATATTTACTTCGTGGTGGTCTGGAACTAAACTGGCACTACGTCTGAGGGATGCCTGTATGACTTTGTTCCTACTCTGTCCCTGGAGATTTCTCTTTCTTGCTTGGAGCTTGGACATATCAATCTAAAATATATTTTTATATTTTATTAAGTTTTTCTATGCATTTGCAGTAGGAGATGACAGCAGTACGGGGAGTTCACCCTGTGCTCAACATGTTGACCTGAAATTCAGTACCAATTATCCTTATGTTGATTTGTGTTTGTCCTCCGAACATCCACCATCTTCTTAACTACTTTAATTGCTTTGTCATTTTCTTCCATGTTCACTAGAATTATCTCAAGATTTTCCTGAGCTGGGAAAATTTCAAGCTTCCTTGATGTTTCAAACTTATCTAATAGCTCTACAAAGCTCTTGTTTTCATCCTGGAGTTTTTTCCTTAGCTCTGAATTTCCTTTGCATTTCACTTGGTGGACTTACCAAGTCACCTTTGGGTTCTTGTTTTACTAAATTTCAAAAGCATATTAAGTATTTTAAAATGAATTATATACCAAGTTAATACAAATTATTAATTGTTAAATTAATATAATTAACTATTAAATTAATACGATTGATTAATTATTAAATATTCTTATTGGCTCTACAATGTGAAGCATTCTCAGGAGTTTTCTTCTGTACTTGGGAGAGTGGTTTCTTCCAATCTAGATATCTGGATATGTTTATCTTTTTCATGTTGTGTTTATTGCTTTTTTTGTTTGTTTGTTTTTGAGACAGAGTCTCTGTCACCCAGGCTGGAGCTCAGGGGTGCAATTATGGCTCATTGCAGCCTCCAGCTCCCGTGCTCAATTGATTCTCCTGCCTTATCCTCCAGAGTAGCTGGGACTACAGGCATGTGCCGCTACACCCTGGTCATTTTTTCTATTTTTTGTAGAGACAGGATCTCACTATGTTGCCCAGCCCAGCCTGATCTCGAACTACTGAGCTCAAGTGATCCTCCCGCCTTACCCTCCCAAAGTGCTGGGATTACAGGCATGAGCCACTGTACTCAGCCTGTTTCTTGCTTACTTTCCTTATTTTCTTTCTCCTACTCTGCCTTCTCCTTCTTGGTGTTCTTCTTTTTAAAATCTAGCATGTTGGCTTAGCCTCCATGCCATCTCTTTTAATTTTGCACAGGTAAGTCTGGTCAGACCGTCTAATGCTGTGAGAGTGTGAGGATGAATTCTTTTTGACACCTTTTCTAGCTACCTGTCATTCCCTCAATACTAGAGTTTGGGGGCTGGGTGGTACTTCCTTCCTGCTTCCTGAGCTCTGAGAGTCACATGGACAGGCGAAGGACAGAGCTAGGCCTGGCTCCCTCCTGATGTGGGCTAGCATCCCACACCTGGGTCCGCTCCACTCAGTAGGCACATGTCCCCTCCTGGGACTTCAGCTCATCCCCTTGGACAGCACAGAGTCCTGACCAGCAGCAAGTCCAGCCACTCCTCCAGTCACTGCTGGCTTCTGTGATGGTGCTCAGGGGCTCCTTCTCTCTGGGGTTTCTCCTGGACTCCCCAGGCTGCCAATTTAGCCTCTTGGCCCTCTTTGTGCCAAACTGAGAGGTGCTGGTGACCCTTCTTGGGATCCTGTTCTCTTACCTTCCCTCATTTGGCTTCAGCTGTGTGTGTGGGAGAGAGACAGCTAACATTTCATTCTGAGACCCTCTATTTCTTCCCTCTTGACACCTTCTCAGTCTTGTGTCATAAGGTTGTACTATTTTCCATGTGTGGTTGCCTCTGGTTAGCTTTGGACTTTTTTTGTTTTTGTTTTGTTTTGTTTTTGAGATGGAGTTTCACTCTTGTCAACCAGGCTGGAGTGCAATGGCAAGATCTCGGCTCACTGCAGCCTCTGCCTCCCAGGTTCAAGCAATTCTCCTGCCTCAGCCTCCCAAGTAGCTGGGACTACAGGCGCCCATCACCACGCCTGGCTAATTTTTCTATTTTTAGTAGAGCCTATTGACCAGGCTGGCCTCAAACTCCTGACTTCAGATGATCCGCCTGCCTCAGCCTCCTAAAGTGCTGGGATTACAGGGATGAGCCACTGCACCTGGCCAGCTTTTGACTTTTTTCAAAAAAATTATTCTTTGATCACCTTGTGATGTGCCAGGTAGAAGGAGGTGTGTTTCTGGCCTCACTTGTGCCACCTTTACCCAAAGTCCAGGCACATGTGCTGTTGAGGCTCCACACAAGACCCCAGGAACTCCTGGGTCTTTGCTACCGCCAGAGAGTCGCACCTGCTTCTCAGACAGAAGACCCCCCTCTCATGGTTTCTCTCAGGCCTCCAAACCCCTGGTTTCTTCATCTTTGAAATGAGTGTTTCATATGCAATTAACCGATGTTGAAACTTTATCAACTCTAAAGTGAAATTATATGTCCTTCCTACACCTAATTCTATCTAACCATAGAGTTCCCCTCCTGAATATTTCTGGAAGTTTCCCAGGGAGAGCTTTGCACAGCTCCAGAAAGTATCTCTCACTCTCACTCCACCGTTTTCTTCTTGCTGCCATGATTCTGCCTCTGTAGCTTATGGGACTGGCGACTTAGTGACTCTGCCAGGCCTTGGGAAGGAGACATTGTCCTCCCCAACCCCCTGCAGCTCATCTGACCACAGGTTCCACTGAGTGGAGGAATAAAGAAAGCAGCGTTAGAAATTTCCATCTTGCCGGGCACGGTGGCTCACGCCTGTAATCCCAGCACTTTGGGAGGCTGAGGCAGATGGATCATGAGGTCAGGTGTTCAAGACCAGCCTGGCCAACATAGTGAAACCCTGTCTCTACTAAAAATAAAAATAATTAGCTGATCATGGTGGCAGGCACCTGTAATCCCAGCTATTTGGGAGGCTGAGGCAGGAGAATCACTTGAACCTGGGAGGTGGAGGTTGCAGTGAACCGAGATTGCACCACTTCACTCCAGCCCGGGGAACAGTGTGAGACTCCGTCTTAAAAAAAAAAAAAAAGAAATTTCCATCTGCCTCCAGAGGAGAAGTATCTTGTACCCAAAGGCCTCTATTTGGTAGGGGCCACTTTAGCCCCCACCAACAGCAATATACAGGTCCCCTTTCTCCACAGAGAGAGGAAGAAATCTCTCCCTTTCCAGCCCACAACACTCTTCCTTGCCTGCCTTGGGACGACAGACTGTAAGGGCACCCCTTTCTGTTAGGGCCAATCTCCCTCCTCCCTCCACACCTGAAGGTGTGGTCTGACCCATTCCCCTCCAAGAAAATAAACCACCATCTTAGTGTCCAGTCTGAGTGTTTTGTTGTCAGAGTCTCAGGCCTGTCTAAGCAGCGCTGTTCCCTCCCAGGGCATCATGGTAGCCTTTCCTCCAGCCTGAGGTGAAGAGAGGATCAAGTTTTCCGACCTCTGGTAACCCCATCTCCCAGGAACAGATGTTGGACAACAAAGCACTCATGTCACCCAGGAGCCAAAGGGCAACCTCAACCAAGATTTTAAAAAATGGACACCTTAGAACATGTGTTTGATTTGTTTGGGGGCAGTTCTACCCATAAACACAATTAATGTTTCCTAACAGGACTCATAATGACTTTGCTCAGAATCACCCCACCTGGGCTTCCTCCGGAACAGCGGAGGCTTCTTGCCTCACAACAGGTGGCCTGCGAGTGCTGCCCAATGTGGTTACAATGTGAGCACACTGGCGGCTGACTCACAGGAAAGGGTTCCCGAGGCTGTGCCTGAGATAAGGCTGGCTTCTGGAGGCCTCTCTGCAGAGGAACAAATCCCACCCCAACTCCCTGATTGGATAATAAGACTCAGAAACTCCAGTTCTCCCCTTCCTATGTGGCTTTGCAGGTTCTGTGTCTGACTGGAGTGCCACTTCTCTCACGTACCTGTGGTCTATGCTACAGAACATCCTAGCCACACAGGAAAGGCGGGAGCAGTGGGTGGCTTGAGGCCAACTGAGCTTTCAATCCAGTTCCTCTCCCCTGCCACCTGCCTTACCTGGTGCTACCTCTGCAAACACCACCTGCTGGGACAGCGTGGGTGGGAGGGGCTGGTGAGGAGCATTATTTCCCGTTACTGCCTTGGGGATGCTGCTGAGGGCATTGCTCACTCCTTTGATCTGGGCAGAGAAGGAAGCCACCTGTCCTAGCCAAGGTTTTAGCGCAGTGACCAGATGAGAGGCTTCAGGTCACCTCGGGGCCCTGAGTCTGGAATCCAGAGCCACAGAGAATGAGGCTCTGTGTGGAATCCTTGGTAGAGACAGGATTGGAAACCTCTTGCAGCCAGAAAAATCACCATCGCAGAGGGAGACTAGAAACCATCTCTGGGCCTGAACCTATCCTTGCTCCCGCCTTTCTTGTGCGGTTAGGTGGTTCTGTGACACTGACCTCAGGCAGGTAAGAAAAGTGGCGGTGCAGTCAGACAATTCACAGAGGCCAGACGGGATGGGGAGAACTGGAGTTTCTGAGTCTTATTATCCAACTAGCCAGGCAGTGGGGGTGGGCTTCGCTCTTCTCTGCAGAGAGGCCTCCAGAAGCAACCTTATCTCAGGCACAGCTTATGAAGCTCTTTCCTGTGAGCCAGCCACCAGTGTGCTCAAATCTTAACAAACATCATGACCTTTACTTAATAAAGGCCTGGGGAAAGCCAGGGCAAGCGTTCCCACTTTAAAGTGCTTCATAAACGACGTGGTATCTGCAGTCACAGGATGACATGATTAGCCCGCTGTCACCTGAGTCAGTTTTTCCAGATGTGGTGAGGGGCAAGGCAGCCAACTGGTGTAATGGAAAAAGCTCTGGATTCGAGTCTCGGTCAGATGTTGGCTACCCACTCAAACTGCTGCCGTGGCAGCCCTGCCTACTTGCACCGCCGTTTTACATCTCTGATGTGGGAGATGAAGAGGGGAATGATCCATGCCTGGTATTTTGCAAACAGAATGCATGCATTCATAGATATGAGAGCACTGAAAAAACCCAAGCAGTTGATTTGGCAGCCAGACTGTGTAGGGGGATGTCACTAGACTTGGTGCTCACTCTGGTTGGATCCAAGCTAATTCTTTTTTTGCTCACAAGTTTTTTTTTTTTTTGAGACAGAGTCTCCCTCTGTCACCCAGGCTGGAGTGCAGTGGTGTGATTTTGGCTCACTGCAACCTCCACCTCCTGGGTTCAAGCGATTCTCCTGCCTCAGCCTCCCAAGTAGCTGGGACTACAGGCGTAAGCCCCCAGACTGGCTAGTTGTTTTTTTTTGTTTGTTTGTTTTGTTTTGTTTTTTGTATTTTCAGTAGAGACGGCATTCACCATGTTGACCAGGCTGGTCTCGGATTCCTGACCTCATGTGATCCGCCCACTTCAGCCTCCCAAAATGCTGGGATTATAGGCGTGAGACACCATGCCTAGATGGATCCATACTAATTCTTAGTCATATAAATCTAAGCAAGTGATTTAGTGTCTCCGGATCTCAGTTTTCTCCACTGTCAAATGGAATGGGTATAATCACCCTGCACCTGGCTCTCCTGAGGGGTAGATTAAATGAGATGGGGATGCATGGGAAGTGCTGTGGGGTCGGTGTACTCAGATGTTACTTGATGCTGTCTAAGGGTAAGCCTTCTTATTTGGGCTACTAGGGCAGAGCATATCTGGGCCTCCATTCTCTTTCAAGAGAAGACAGCATGGCCGGGCGCGGTGGCTCAAGCCTGTAATCCCAGCACTTTGAGAGGCCAAGGCGGGCGGATCACCTGAGGTCAGGAGCTCGAGACCAGCCTGGCCAACGTGGTGAAACCCCATCTCTACTAAAAATACAAAAATTAGCCGGGCGTGGTGGCAGGCGCCTGTAATCCCAGCTACTCAGGAGGCTAAGGCAGGAGAATCGCTTGAACCCAGGAGGCGGAGGTTGCTGTGAGCCAAGATCGTGCCATTGCACTCCAGCCTGGGGGACCAGAGTGAAACTCTGTCTCAAAAAAAAAAAAAGAGAAGAGAGCAGCTGCCAGTTGCCCTGGTAACCCAGACCAGCAGCAGGCTTCCTGCAGGGACTTTCCTACCCCGGCACAGTTGTCAGTTTCTCTTCTCAACCTTAGCTGAGGCCGAAAGTGTGGTGGAGACACACAGGTTTCTCAAGCAGAGCCCTCCGCAGAGCACACCGTGCCCACTGGCATTACTTGCCACATCTCCTTGCTTTGTGGAAGAGAATTTGGTTACACATCTTACTGTTTTTTCTGCTTTCTTTCTGTGACTCATCATGTTTGTGAGTATTTCAGGTAAACACTTGTAGGGGCAGCCTTCTTGGCTCAGTTTTTTGTTCTCTGTAGTCTCTGTGCCAGGCTGGTGACCCTCCTCTCTGTGTCCAGCCCCCCTCCCCTGGGAATAGGTCAGGGGTCTGAGATCACCAGCTGCCTGGGCTGTCTTCAGCCAGGACCTGAGGGGTTTGTCTCTGTAGCAGTGGAGTTCATTCACTGCTATCCTTTATGAGAGTGGAAGCTGCCCGTTTCTCCCCTACCCTTCCTGACAGGAAACTAGCACTGGCTGAAATTTCTCCAGGGCTGACCCGCTTCTCGGTGTCCTGGTCCCATGTTCAATATAAAAGTCCTATGAATCACCACAGTCTTCAGGAGTAACACTTCCTATTCCCGGAAAGTCAGGACCAGTCTGGAAGGACTTCGTACCTTCCTGGGATTTGCTATTTTGACCATCCCCTATCTGTTTTCCTGTAATTATCTGCTGTGAAACTTACAAAACTAAAATGCCACGAGTGCTTATCTACGGGGCAACCAAAAAAGAGAAGGCCTTGAACCTGAGTCCCTCTGTACGTGTGGGTTTCTATGGGGGTGGGTAGGCACTGCCTGACAAGGGGGCAAGAAAGCCAAGAGCTGACAGGGAACCAGGGAGGGGCCGAGGAGCCTGCCCAGTGAGGAGGCCTGTGGGCGAGTCCCTGATTTGTGCCAGCCAGGAAGTTGTAGAAGTTAGGGAGCAGTTGCCATACTTATGTTATTCTTATAGGAGTGGTCCCTAAGATTAGTTGGAAAGGCCCTTTATCAAGGATCGGAGAGCTATCCAAACTTTTGGTCCACAGGAATAATAAAAGTGTAAAAGCATGTAACATCCCTGGTAGCTGTCCTTTATTGATGTTTTCTCTGTGCCCTGCCTTATCTCAGACTCATGTTAAACCTGGGAGATGGTAGTTTTATCATCCCCATTTTACAGAAAAGGAAAACCAAAGGGCAACCATGTGGGCTAGGAATGTTGCATCCAAGTGGCTTTTATGGAAGTATGCTAGATGCCAGGCGCCCTGCTAGATGCTTTCCCAAGTACCATCTTGAATATTCAGCAGAGCTCTGTGGGGTAGGCTCTATTATCCCTGCTTTATAGATAAGGCCCATAAGGTTCACAGAAGGTGACGTGCCCAGGGTGTGAGTGCAAGTCTGTCTGTCAACCCCGCTGCAGCTTTCTGCAGCACAGAAACTGGTCCAGCTCTTCAACTGATTAGAAGGCTGTTTAGGAATCAGCCACGGGTCCCTGTCACATCCCAGACCATCACAGATCTCCGTGCTGCTGGAGGATGGCCACCTGCTCTTGTCTGGCTCTCCCACCATCTAATCCCTAAGCAGGCCTGAGAGAGAGGAAGGAAAAGGGAACACGTGGCCCAATCAGGAGCTTGGACCCAGGTCATCTGTACCTACCATGTTTACTTGCACAGTCTCCTCACCCTCTGCACTTATTCTGAGGGTGCATGAGCTTGGCCATTATAAACCAAAGCGATAAACTTATTTATTAGCTTCTGTGGGTCCTACTATGTGCCTTTCCTGCTCACAAAGTCTCTGTGAGGCAGAGAGCAATCCCCGTTCCACAGAAGCAGGAACGAGATAGAGGGGTCATGAATGCATCCAGCCACACAGCTAGTGGTAGTCAAGCCAGGATTCAACTCAAGGCTCCTGGCCTCCACAGCTCATGGGATTTCCTTCAAATCAGAGTGATAGTTTAGCACTATCCTCTCTTGGTCCCTCACGAGTGAGTTCTCATGTCTGGTTGTTTAAAAGTGTGTGGTACTGCCCGCTTCGCTCTCTCTCGGTCCTGCTCCTGCCATGTAAGACACCTGCTTCTGCTTTGCCTTCCGCTGTCAGTAAAAGCTCCCTGAGGCCTCCCAGAAGCAGACACTGCCATGCTTCTTCCTGCAGAGCCTGTGGAACTGTGAGCCAATTAAACCCCTTTTCTCTATAAATTACCCAATCTCAGGTATTTCTTTATAGCAATGTGAGAGTGGACAAATACACTTGTTTTTGATGACCTTGACAGTTTTGAGGAGTACTAGTCATGCATTTTGTAGACAACCCCTCAACTGGGATTTGTCCATTGTTTTTTCATGATAAGACTGGGGTTTTGGGTCATGGAGAGGAAGGTCACATCATGTCATTTCAACACATCATGTCAAGGTTACATACTAGCAATATGTCACTGTTGACATTGACCTTGATCATCTGGTTGAGGTAGTGTGTCAGTTTCCCCGCTGTAAAGTTACTTTTCCCCCTTTCCGTACTGCATTCTTTGGAAGGAAGAGAACTATGTGCAGCCCACACTTAAGGAGTAGAGAGTTATGCAGTCTTCCTTGAAGGCTGGGTGTTTTGTTTTGTTTTTTTTTTTAGATGCAGTCTTGCTCTGTGACCTAGGCTGGAGTGCAGTGGTGTGATCTCGGCTCACTGCAACCTCTGCCTCCCAGGTTCAAGTAATTCTCCTGCCTCAGCCTCCCGAGTAGCTGGGATTACAGGCACCCACCACCACGCCTGGCTAATTTTTTGTATTTTTAGTAGAGATGGAGTTTCACCATGTTGGCCAGACTGGTCTCGAACTCCTGATCTCAAGTGATCCACCCACCTTGGCCTCCCCAAAGTGCTGGGATTAGAAGCATGAGCCACTGTGCCCGGCCAAGGTTCATTCTTACACTTAATAAAAATATACATATCAGACAGTCTGCTTGATGATTTATATTTTTTGTAGCTAAGGTCTTGTCAGATCTGAGTAGAGCATCATGTTTTTTAATAATAACAAGAGCTAGCTAGCTTTTATTAAAGGGCTTACTCTGTCCAGTGCTGTTCTAAGCAGGTCACATGCTGTATTAATTTACTTAATCCTCACAACTACCCTCTGAGGTGGCAACTATTATTATCCCCATTTTGCAGATGAGGAAACAGAGCCCCAGGGAGGTCAGATAACATGCCCATATAGCTAGAGAGTGGCAGAGCTGGGGGGAACCCTGGCGGTCTGGCTCTAGAGCCCATTTTATAGCAGCCACCTCTGCCCACCCTGGCCTGGCTAGGACTCAAGGCCAGAAACACACCATTCTCTGATCTCCTGCAGGGAAACAGAGCTGCCATTATCCCAGGAGGCAAGGCTGTCCCAAGAGCATAGAC